TTGGTTCCAGAACCCAAGCCATGTGTTGAGGTATCTAGTCGATACCTCTCAACCTCCCGCACAAGCTCGGGCTCCTTCCCCACCAGAGAGGTCACATTCCATGTCCCGAGAGCCAGTTTCGTCAGCCGGGGATCGGACCGCCAGGGCCTCCCTTGGCCGCCACCCGATCCACAAAGCACCGAACCCCTGACATTCCCCCTGCGGGTGGTGGGCCCACCTGGGGACAGTCCCACGTGCCTCTTTCGGGCTGTGTCCGGCCGGGCCCCACGGGCCAAGGCCCGGCCACCAGGCGCTCGCCAACGGGTCCCTCCCCCAGGCCTGGCTCCAGGGTGGGGCCCCGGTGACCCTAGTCTGGGCGAGGGAAACGGGACTTTGTTTTTAAATTTGTTCATGGGGTTCTTTTGGATTGCTCTTTGTCTGGCCTCTCCCCTGGGACCTTTTTGCCTTGGGAGACCCTACCAGGGGCTATTGCCCCTGACAACATAGCCCCCGGGTTCACTGAGGCACGCAAACCCCTCCACCACGATAAGGTGGCAATCCAAGGAGGAGAGTGAATTTTCCATTTAGAAATAATGGAAACTCCGATGATTCGTTCCACAACCCAAAAATATTCATATAAAAATGATTAATACAAAATATAAAGTAAAAATACATAAAACAAATTAACCTGCACTTTACCTTTGAAAAGAATTGTGGATGGTGTGAGGGAGTCGAGAAAGAGGAGATTTTAACAAGGAACCTATCCAATGACAGCTGCCTTTGCCTCCTTTTCGATTTAGCAGAAATGTGGACATTGCATTGTTCGCACTGCTGCACCCTTATTTGGGTGGTGCTTTTTTACGAAATTTTGACTATATGAGTGAGGCACACCGACTGAGACCAAGCATAGGAGACGATTACCCACAATCCCGCAGCGAGAGAGAGAGAAGAACCATCGGCTCAGTTGTGATCACGTGACGCTAGGCAGACAAAGCATATACATAATGCTAATATTGCAAGACCTTGCTCGTTTATCAAGTTAAAATTTATAAATTTTTGCTTGTCTTGCAAAACACTCACAAATTACGTGTAAGTTACAGTAAAACCTTGAATTGCGAGTATTACTAAAAGATCTGTCAACAAGCTGTTTCTTTAATTGATTAGATGACAGAGCAGCTTGTTGGATATGACTTAAGTGTAAGACATGGATGTTTTCCAATCAGTAAGGTACAGCAAAGCACTGTTCAATGCTGACTATGAATCTGTAGTATGACTCCAAGCTACTAAGGTTGCTTGTTTGAGTAGGTGGAGGTGGCTATGGCAATATTTGTAGTTTGTTTAGGTGTAGATAATTTTATTTGTGTAACTTATTTTATTTACATTTTAGTAAAATTCTCATTTTTAATATAACATCCATACCGCACACCATAAACGTGATTTAAGAGTAGATGTACTGTACAGCAAAACTGTTAAGTAAGTAGAGATTATGGCAATCACTGTCAATTATATCAATAATCTGTTAATCTGACGATTCATCAAGTAAATAATAATACATTTTATTTATATAGCGCTTTTACAAGAACTCAGATGCTTACAGAGAAAGTACACAGAAAACAAATTACACATTATGCATATGGAATGTTATATGCCTTAGGAAAGAGAGAGGTTTTTAGCTTGGTTTTAAAATCTGAAACAGAAGTTGATAAACAGATGGCAGTAGGTAGTGAGTTCCAAAGGCGGGGAGCTAAACGGGAGAATGCAAGGTCACCATAGCTATGTAATTTGGAAGGGGGGATGAAGAGAGAACCACTAGAGGAAGTTCTAAGACTGCGGGGAGGCTGGTAGGGTAGAAGCAAATCAGTAAGATATGGTGGACCTTGATTATTAACAGCTTTAAATGTCAGAAAAAGCATTTTGAAATGAATGCACTTTTTATAGGGAGCCAGTGCAGGCTCTGCAGAACGGGTGTGATGTGCTGATAGGAACGAGTGTGAGTCAGGAGGCGGGCAGCAGAGTTCTGAACTATCTGAAGTTTAAGGAGAGATTTAGCAGAGATACCAGCGAGTAGTAAGTTGCAGTAGTCAAGACAGCTAGAGATAAAGGCAATTGAGGGACTCTGCAGCAGAGTTTGAAAGGTATGACCTAATACGGGCGATTTTACGGAGGTGAAAGTAAGCAGTTTTTACTATGGAACGTAGGTGTGCGTCAAATGAGAGGGTTGGGTCAAAGGTGACACCAAGGTTTCGGACCAGAGTAGATGGAGAGATGGTAGTGTGGTCCAATTTTGAGGGTTATCGGGCTAATTTTGCTAAATGCGGATTTTGTCCCAAAGGCAGAATTAGCAGCAGAGATTATGTCATGGACCTCAGACACATTGACAGACGAAAAGTTAGTCAGAGAGCTAGTTGGAGCTGGGAAACTGGGAGGAGATAGGAAGACTGGATCAGCATCAGAGTGGTTTCTGTCCAGAGATGCATAAATAGCAGAAATTTTGGAATCAAAAAACTGAAGGAAGGCATTGCAGATTTCCGTAGTGGGAGAAATGTTATGGTCAGGGGGCTTGAATAATCTTCTGACAGTAAAGAAAACGGGATGCGTGGGTTCTTATTATTATTGTTTGACACTAGAATAGTAGACAGATTTAGCATTTTGTAAGGCATCGTTGCAACAGGCCATATGTTCTTTGTACGCTTCAGCATGGACAGAAAGGTGAGTTTTCTTGAGTAGTCGCTCAAGTCGCCAGCCTTTCTGTTCCATGCAACGCAGCTCAGGAGTATACCATGGAGCAGGGTTAGCAAAGGAGACCAGTTTGGTTTTCAAGGGGGCAACAAGATCTAATGAGTCAGACAGGATTGTGTTTAGAGTGGAGACAAGATCACCAGGGGAGGAAGGGATACATTTCGTTGATAGAGCTGTAGAAATAACTTGGGACAGGACAGATGTATGGAGGGAAATCCCGGACATTTTTCAAAAGGAATTGCAAATTGCATTGCAATTGCGTTTTCCTAAGGCATATAACATTCAATGCAATTTGCAATTCCTTTTGAAAAATGTCCGGGATTTCCCTCCATATATAGCAGTTTAATAAAGCACAAAAAAATCATTATGAATCCAGATAAATCCATAGAATGCTGGTGTCTAAAGCAGTGCAGCACTTTTCGTAAAGATTAATAATATAACATATAACTGACACCTACATGAAATTAACAATGAAGCAGTGTTTAAACGTGTGTGCTTATTTACATGTAACACTTTTTAGCATTAAAGTGCGAAATAAGGTTTTACTTCCTCAATGTTAATTTGACTGCATTGGTAGATAGTTTGAGACTTGGAATAAGTAACTTCTTTGTTTGTTTTGGTAGTTGGTCCTTTCCTGTTCATACGTCATTGTGAATGACGGTGCATCATTTGAATGCAGTACGCACGTCAAAATGAGGTTAGTATGGGGGCAGTTTTGGCAGTATTTGGGGATACTGTTGAAAATCTGTATCGGACTGAAATGTTTAAGCTAGAGACCTGCACTCCCGCGGGAGTACCGCGGAACCCAACGCACCGAGTGCGGCGCGGGACAAGATTTGATGGGTGGGTGTGGGTGGTAAGGTCCTCATGTATGTGCGGGTTGCGGGAGAATAGAATTAATCGCGGGACTCCCGCAAAATGGAATTATCTTAAAATTAATTTATTAAAAACAAATACTCTATTATTTATCTACTGCACAAAAGCAACAAGAACGACTAAATTAAAATAATAACAATTTACAGGCGAATCGTCTACA